TGAGCGGAAGGAGGGCTCACAGGTCTAAAGCACTTTTATGCGGAACATCAACCACAAATTCGAGGGCTGGGGGTTCCTTTGGTATTCCCTCTGAAGCCTGTGGTGCAACCTCTGTGGAAGGAGCTGCAGCCTGAGTCTCTTTCTCATTCATCGCCACTTCGCCATTCCGTACACGTTCGATACGATGTCTGTAGTACGCGTGATAAGGGTCGGCGGAGTTAAGAAACGAGAATTTGGGATCCTGACGATGGTTCTCGCGGATTTTATCCTCAAACTGGATCGGGTTGGCGGATGCGGCGACGAAGCCAGCAGTTGAGTCGATAATTGCTGCAGGAAAAGAAGGCAGTTTATAAGTAGCCATGTAAGTAAGACAAAAGGTCCAGAAACTTACTTCGCATGTCAGGAGGTGGATAGATCATATTGGGTATAAATTTCTGTGTCGAAGCGTCCTCAGCATCGCCGTTGGGTGCTGGAGAGTGAGAACTAGAACCATTGAGGTGGGCGCCATTCGTCCCACTAGAGATATCCATTGGAGTCCCCGGTAGCGCTGGTGGTGGCATCACTTGTACCGACATGATGAAAAGATACTGCACCAAAGTCGAGGGGAGGAGACGACTCGAACGCGTTAAGTAAGCAGCGCCACACAAGTGTCAACAAATTCTGAGGCTGGAGGGTTTTGCACAATGGTATCATACACAAAGGTGATCCTATGGCACTAGTTTTTCTCACTGTGGCCGATGATAAACCCGGCATCTTTCACAATCTGGAGCGACGCAATCATGTCATCATCCGCCGTGGCACTGACCACGTTTTGCCGCTCTTGGTCAAGAACCACGAACTGCTCCGCCCAATTGTCTCGCTCCGCGTGTGACCCCAAGTTGTCACAGACAATAGATAGAATGCAAAGGGCATCGAGCGCCTGAGGGTAAAGTGATATGGCTCGATAATCCTTTACGGCGCGAATGAGATGTGGACGCGTTTCTTTGAGCTTAGATTCGTTCATTCCTATTATTCAGATGAATACGCGGTAGCCCGAACGTGATGAAGCCACAAACCTGTTTCGCAGCTCGCAATCAGACAGCGAGCATAGGTCACACTAGCATACGCTCTAAGCTCTAGATCATTACCAAGAAGGACCTAAGCAATCGGGGTCAATGATAAAGGTCACAAGGGGCCTAGACAGGTGGCTTCCTCACACCAGGTAATATCTCTTCTAGCCAACCGACGCATGTATGGCTAAGATCAAGGTCAATGCAGATATCGGCCAAGAGAACCACAGCTGTGCGATAATAGCCAATCATCCCTCGGATTTCAGCACTCCATATCGCCTCCATGAGGGGTTTGATTGCAGGGACGGAGACTCCCGAAGCCTGGAACAGAATCCTTAGCTCGATGAAGCCGGTATGAAGGACTAAATCGCATCAAACCTTAATCTCACGCGCTTCTCGCAGCCTCTCCACGATGGCCGTCCGCTTCATGAGAGGGTTTGTGCTGCCGCCAAGTGACTGCATCACACTTGGTTCCGGGGGCTGATTGGCTTTGAGGAATGACTGGCGGAGTTGATGTTGCTCCCTTACGGTGTCGTTAGAACGGCGTAGAAAATTAGCCAAGATCTGAAACGTACTTGCGTTTTGCAGTAAAGTCAAACGTGGACCATACAGCCCGTGACCATACACGATATTGCCTGAAGTTGAGACCTCGCCATGTTTGAGGGTCAAGGAGAAGTTTGAGAGCTTCATTGCTTTGTCCTTGGCGGGTCAGCTGCTCATGATATCAGCGCGATAGCTTTCACGTAACAATGGGGGACACCATTGCTCACCATTTTAGCTTGTCCACATATCACATTGACTCGAGCGTCATCGTCGCCCACTGGAACAAATGTCATGACTATCCGCTCATGCATGCCAGCCAGCGTCTCCACGCCTGGGGAGAAAGTGAGTAGGAAGGAACCGTCTCAATAGCAGTGTGCTTACCGGCTAATCGCCAAAGTATGGCCATAACAGCGTGAAGCGGCCATTTAGCTATCCCCAGATTACTACGCAGGCGAGCATCCCATACGCCGACGCTTTCATAAACTTTGGTCCAACAAAGATGGAGGCCTTCTCCCTACAATTCCAGGCCTCAGTTAGGTTTTTCTCTCAAGAGCAATCACTCCCTCGTTCACGATCGACTCACCAAATCAAGCAATTTCTTCACCTCCCATAATGTATCAAGTGGCGAAGACCCCGCTTTAATGGTCGCGCGGCGATCGAGGGCGAGAAAGAGACTTGCTGGGTCCGGTTGCAATCGCTGCATGAGACTGGGCGTTTGGGTGAGCGCAGGGCGAGCGAAATTTGGGTCGGGGTTACCTCTGGCAGCTATCAAGTGTGAAAGGGTCATTTTTCTCGCGCGATACCTTGATCCCTTCCTCGAGAAACTAGAAAGCGCCAGAGTAAGCAAGGCTGCGTGGTAATTGGGATAATGTGGGCACTTGCCATGCGGGCCGCGTGTATTTCGCCCTGAGAGTAATGCATTCGTGCCATGCTAAGTAGAGCGTGTTGATATAATGTTCTACGATGAATAGCTCCGGATTAGCTCCTAGTGCCCAACTGTGATTGAGGATAGCACCTACGAATCATCACTCATGGCGAATCTTTGATCATAAAATCTTCGCAGCGTATCCGAGGCGACATTGCTGTGGCCGGCTTTCAAGGCCGTCTCAGATCTAGAATGTTATGTCGGTCTGTTTCTGAAACTGGCCGACACAGAAGGGCGACTCACTCATAATAGTACTCAGGTTTTGACAATTCCATGAGATCAATGATGACAGGATACATTTGAAGACCTGGTGTAAAATGAGACTACAGCGCCATGGTTCACTGCGTGATCACGTACCATTTCGACGATCTCGTGTAGACAAATGGTACCCCGACTCATTACTCCCATTGATCCAAGCAACAAAATCGTTTTGTAAACGAAGTTGTCCAGCGAAAGAGAGCTTCCTATAGCTCAGATAGCATCGGCGGATGAATAGCCCAAAGAACGATCTCCTTTCCTGAATTAGAGTAAGCTGAGGGTGACGAATCGCCAAGGGCTCAACGCACGAAAGCGAACTGGGAATCGTCCTGAAAGAACGGGCGAAGTGTGAGGGTGATGACCGCTCATCTTGATAGGAAGGCTTGACATACTAATAGATCATCGCCAGGCGGGACTACTGTCTGACGAATGTCTGCACGGTAGAGTGAGCTCGAGGAAAAGATGAACGAGAGGGGTGGATCGGCCATCAATTACCTCTCATAAGTTCTCCCAGCGCCTCAGGGCTTGTGATTTGACGAGACTATTCCTAAACGAGGTCAATGAAGGAATCGCATTCGTTTCACCACGCCTCAACGCACAAGGTCTGTCAATCGCCATTGGAGATACTCGAAGGTCTTGATAATCCCTTTGTCTTTTGTTGATATTTCCATTCTACCAATAAGCTCTCGGAATGGGGTTGGAGGTTCCATCTAATGGTTCGCGAGATCTCAGCAAGTTCGACAAACCACAAGGCATCCGACGTTGGACAGAGGGTTGCTGACCTCTCCTATCTCCCTCGCAAGGACAGAAAGCATTCGCTGTTTCATCTTCTTATGAATCGGCCCGAGGTCTGTCCCTCGAACATAGAGATAAATGCACAAGAGCACGCCAATGTGGTGAGGGAACAGAAGATGGGCAACGGGTGGACTGTTTGCAGCGTCCATGCTGGGAGAAGAGAGCTTCAGGCGAGTTTAATGGAGTTCCAATATGGCTGCCAGTTGTATTTCTGCGCCTCCAGAGCTCAAGCGGGGCGTGAGGCTCGCAGGGCCAAGTTCGAGTCGCGTTGTGGTTTATTTGCAAGCGCGTGACGGAGCATCCCAAGGTATCAACACCATCATCACATCTGGCAAAAACTTTACAGCTCCGTGTTCTATCGAATCGTCTATATTTATAAATATTATCAGAAGCGAGTGATCAAGATTGATCTTGCTGGGGTATCAATGTCGTCCGTCCTCCATCCATCGGCTAAGCGGATCGTCTTTTGACTCATTCATGACTTAGGGCGTTGGAAGCCCTAAAATCCACCCTTGGAGAGTATTATAGGATCTCCATTCAAGATGGACGAGTCTTTATTGGTGCCTTTACATGCATGGACAAAGCAAAGAACATTATCCTTACGCATGCGGAGGAATTCTACCTTGAGAGTCCAGGAGTTTACTCCTCGGGTCAGTCAATTCGTTGGGCCCTAATTGTGGCTAACATCTGATTATTCCGTTTGCTTCCTATCCAGGACGTTACGTTGGTATGATTATGATACCATGGCGCTATGTCATAACTGCAGAGGTCGAAATGATAGGGTGACGAGTTGCTCTGAGGCCAAGGTAATGCATATCAGCCGCTTTATTGGTAAATCATGTCAGAGAACTTACACTTTTGCCTCCCAATCTGTGCTCGCGATTGCCAGGAGCCTTCACACACTCAGTACATCCCACACGACCGACACCAGAGCATGCCGGATGAAACCCTTTGGCCCACCCAGATCACTGCTCTACTCGTCTTAAATGACCCGAGTATAGTTGAGCTTGATATTCGCCTTTAGGCATATCAAGAGGATTGCCATATCCCGATCTTCCTAACTCGATCCTGCGTCCTATTACGTTTACGCCACAATGGTTAGACTCTCGAGCTTTGTAAATATCATCATAAGAGTGGATCGGAGTAGATCGCTCAAGATTTTCACCCTGATGGCATGCTCTGACCATCCCAGCAAATCTACTCTACCCTTTGTATCAAACTGTACTGCACCAACGTTCGCTCTAATACATCCCTTCTTTCCTGGAAAGATATCTTGCTATTATCGGAACGAATCTGCACGCCATCAATCAATATATAAGCAGTACCAGCAGGCTAGGTCGATGGAAGGAACGATAAGCTGGAGTTTACGGTGTTCACTGAGGCTGTGATGTCTTCATGGCAAAAAGATGACTCGAACGGCAAAATAAAAGTAGCAAACCGACGTTTTGATCGTCGGACCTATGGGTCACACCTTGAAGTATGGGCCCATCGCTCTTCCACTGAGCTAGTTTGCTGCTCATGTTCAGTGAGTGGCAATTTATGCAATCTCGTTCACCATTTATCGCGTAGGAGAGCTACTATCTATCACACCCTCGGGTATGCTGTTCGTTTGGAGCAATACTAAGATATGATATCGTCGTGAAACCCCAAGTTTTCAGAGACATTTCGTGCTGATGACAGCCTAGGCGTGGTGCCCGTCGAACGGTCTCACGCGACGCCGGCGTCGATCTTCCTAACGAGCCACCACCACCCCCGAATCGGCTCAAAGCTGCCTGTCAAGCCTCATCTGCAATGCTCGGCCAATGCGTTCTTTTCCTGTAACGTCTGTATGCTGGAGGTCCAAATGCTGTCATTCTCGACTCCCTTTACCGCCCAATTTGATGCACATGGGTAAACCAGCTGAATCATCGAGTCATCTGAACAATCCGTTAAAAAGTTTCGCTGTTCGTGCTCATTTCCACCACGGTTCCCTCCCCCAATCCTTAGCTCCAACAATGTCTCCCTCCACCACTGTCGTCGCCATCCCTGATGCGGTCTGTGTGTATTGCGCATCCTCGATGGGTAATGAGCCCGAGTTCCGAGAGGCAGCGGAGTGTGCGTTGCGTCCCCCTGAAATATTTTTCTTCCTCATATCTAACGCGTCTCGTCGCCGCCAGCCCTCGGCCGTGCCATTGCCAATCAGAAGCGTACCTTAGTCTATGGAGGAGGCAATCGAGGATTGATGGGCGCCGTCTCAGCGGCGTGTCGAGACGCAGGTGGGAAAACTCTTGGAGTGATTCCGAGAACTATTGCTGAGGGCGGAGGTGAGGGGTCTCGAAAAGAGGAGGTGATGTCCATCGTGGCTGCCGAAACCATCGTCGTGGACTCTATGCACCAACGTAAAATGATTATGGCCGAATCGGCCGACGCTGGCTTTATTGGCCTCCCTGGTGGCTTTGGTACCCTTGAAGAAGTACGTCTCGGTCCAAATATCCTCTGAAACGCTTTTCATGTTGCTCACTTCTCGATGGCACTGGTGTTTTCACCTGTAGGTTCTCGAGGCCATCACTTGGACTCAGCTGGGAATCCAAAAGAAACGTGAGTTTGGCATAACTAACCTCTGCATCGGAAAGTTGCTTATTTTCCTTTAAAATTTCATCCAATAGCTGTCGTCCTCCTCAACGTCAAAGGGTACTACACGCCAATCCGGCAGTTGGTCCAAGGGGGTATGTTGAGGGTCCTTTGCCCGATATCCAATGAAAGGCTAACACGTCGGCTCACTAGGAGTCACAGCTGGTCTCATCAAACCAGGATACTCTGGTATCGTTCAAATTGTTGACAAGCCAGAAGACGATGCTACATTCGATTGGGGTGAAGCAGCCTTGAAGGCGCTGGCAAACTGGGCTCCACCTCGCGAAGGCCCGCTATACACTACTTGGAAAAGCCCTCTTGCCGAATCCTAGATAGCTGCATTGTGTATATATAGAGCTTGCCTTGTCCGTTTGCCTATCTCTAGAAATTTCCTAAAGTGGAAGAAATCACGTGCCGTCTGACTCAAACCCAAACACCCACCGACAGACGCTTCAGCCACCCCAAGCTTGTTATCAGCACTTCTCTAGTATCGATCATGTCTTACACTCCATCAGTTCCTCGTGCTGCTAGTTCTGCGATGCTTTTGCCTGGACAAACCCCTCCCGCTCCCACCCCGGCACCTGTACCACAGACACCAGCTCCCGCAACCGCAAGTACAAGCTCAGGGTCAAAACCAGCTCTGACACTGGAACAGCAACATATTACCGCAGTGGAAGGGATCGTTCCCACATTACAGTAGGTATCTTTCCTTTTTAATGGGCTTGAAGTCACCAACGACCCAGGTTGCATCGCCACTTCCATCTCGTTCTACCTTGACGTTGTTACACCCAAGAACCATTGCTCACCGAGAATCACGTCTCTCTACAGAAACATTGTTGCTACAGTGAATCTCGACTGCAAACTGGACCTGAAGACGATCGCGCTTCACGCACGAAACGCAGAGTACAACCCAAAGGTTCTTATCTCTGATTTCCATCCTCTCGATCGCCTCTCATAACCAACGGTTTCTCTCATGTAGCGTTTTGCAGCCGTTATCATGCGTATCCGTGATCCCAAGACCACCGCCTTGATTTTTGCATCTGGAAAAATGGTCGTAACCGGTGCCAAGTCAGAAGATGATTCCAAGCTTGCGTCTCGCAAATACGCCCGTATCGTACAGAAGCTTGGGTTCGACGCCAAGTTCCTTGACTTTAAGATCCAAAACATCGTCGGTAGCTGTGACGTCAAGTTCCCTATTCGGTTAGAAGGTCTCGCGTATGGTCACGGTGCTTTCAGCAGCTATGAACCTGAGGTATGTCTAATGACGGCGAAGCAGCGCATGCGTTTTGCTTTTGCCGTGCTGAACAAGCTTGTTTCGCTTGCGCTGTCGATACTAGCTCTTCCCTGGCTTGATTTACCGCATGATCAAGCCAAAGGTCGTACTGCTCATCTTCGTGTCTGGGAAGATTGTCTTGACTGGCGCAAAGGTACTAATCATCCACGCCGCGCATTTCGCGAGCTATACTCACCATTTGAGATCGTTTGTAGGTGCGAGAGGAGATTTATCAAGCCTTCAACACCATCTACACCGTGCTGGTCGAGTTCCGAAAACCATAACACGCTCGTCACCTGCCACTGCATTCAAACCCCCCTCGTACTCAAAATTCTCAATCACTAATCAGACATTTTCTTCTCTCTACTTGGCAAACTTTCCTCATTCCTTCTATGACCGTCATGTCACCCACCCGTTTCCCTTAACATTATTATATATAAGCTTCTCTCCCCCTTCTTGCTTCACATACATTGCTGTCTCTGCCATAAAGTCATACAGTCGTACCTTGCTACGTACTCACCTCCTGCGTTGTACCCGTCGCCTAGTTTTGAAGCAATACCATGCTATTGCGGCGCTTATATGTCCCAGTCCGGTCCCGGCGTCCATTTTCTCCGCACACGACCAGGATACGCCGCCTGGAGGCGAATAAGATGAATTATGTGACAATTCAGGCTCGCTAAGTTGAAGAGAGAAGCCTTATCTGGCGTATAGAGGCCGATCCCAGGAACGAAGCTATCATCATTGTTATGATTCTCGCTTGCAAGGCCACTTATCAGTGGAAGGATAATCCACGCCGCCGTCTGCCGACCTCTTTGACACTTCCTCTTGTCCGCCACTGCTGTCCTTCTATTGCTGCACGTAGTGTTGAGGAACTATGGCACATCCTATTGAGAAATCAGCTTCGCCGACGCTCAGGGATGTTGATGAGGTTCGTGCGGCTTACTTCACTTATCATCGAGCACACCTGCCTTTTTTTGCCGGCCCTTTTGACTGTTCGAACGAACGAGTTCACTGGGACGACGTGCTTCTTCTCAGCTTATACGAATGTGTGGCGTTCTGACATGTTGCGAACTTTGCGTCCTGGCGATCGTGCTTAGGTTGAGCTTGCACGTCATGGGTACAAACAGGTATGCCGTAACGCTGTGCGAGATAGCCACCCACCCCTCTAATGCTGCGCACGCCGATCGTAGGAGCTGCGTCGAGACTGGAGTCCATTACAAGTGAGTCGTTTTCATAAATTTGACGTTGGCCGGATCTTAACCAGACCTATCTCGATGTGTAGAACTTTGGAGTACGCGATCTTCCATGATTCGCCTAGAAACTCCTGGTCCAGAACTGACGGCTTGGCTGTAGGTTAGCTTCAGTGTGATCTCAGTGATTACTGGAACCTCCTCGCTCTTCCTGTTCGGCTTAGTACGTTCCTTTCCGCCTAAATTACGGACACGCTGGACTTACGCTTGTTTCGTTATTACACTTTGTGCTTCATGTTCTCTACACCAACGTTTAGTCCACTGGCGGACCGGCTGTGATGGTGTGGGGCTGGGTTGTGGTGTCGTTCTTCACGATGATGGTTGGCCTTGCCATGGCCGAAGTTTGCAGCAGTATCCCTACCTCTGGTGGACCCTACTTCTGGGCCTCCAAGCTCGCTATGGATCGTACCTCTGCATTCGCTGCTTGGTTCACTGGCTGGTTCAACCTTCTTGGGTTTGTCTGATTCTCTGCTCAGAGCCGAACTATTGGCGCTGACTCACTGGACTTCATTTGCATCCTTCTTTGCGGGGTCTGTATAGACAAGTCGCTGTTACGACCGGCATCAGTTACGCTTGTGCCAACTTTATTGCTACTGTGGCTACCTTCAAGACGAGCTTTGTCCCTCACGCCAAGCACGTCATTGGAATATATGCAGCTGTCCTCATCGTCCAAGGTAAGATCCATCCTCCTATGCAGCCCTTAGATTATACTAACAACGAGACTAGGGCTCATCAATGCATTTGGTATGCCAGGCTTTCAGACAGATGAAACCGACTAACTAACAAATCCTCAGGTGTCCGAACGCTCCGCTTCATGAACAACCTCTCCATCTGGTGGCACGCCGTGGGGACTAGCGCGCTGGTCATTGGTGTCCTCGCCAAGGCACCCACTCACCAATCGGCCAAGTGGGTCTTTACCCAGTTCTATGATGGTACTGGTGGATGGGGAGATCGTGCCAGCCACGCCTACGTCTGCATGATCGGTATCCTGATGGCCCAGTACACCCTTAGTATGTCTTCTATCATCTGGGTTGAGAATGCCGTACGGGATTTCCTTATTTTCTCTCTTGTATCGCTGGGTTGAATAGCTGGATTCGACGCCAGTGCACACATGTGAGTCCATCCTACATCCCAACCAAGACCACAGCACTGATTCTCAATGTCTTGTGGCGATCTTATCCAGGACTGAAGAAACACACAACGCAGCAACCTCCGGCAGCTATGGCATCATCAGCGCTATTGGCGTGTCCTCCGTGCTCGGCTGGTTCTTGATTCTTGGACTGCTGTTCTCCATCCAAGATTTCGACAATACTATTGCTTCACCCACTGGCCAACCTGTCGCCCAAATCTTTATCGACACCGTAGGCATCAACGGTGCTAT